TTCTAATAAAATATTAAAATATATAATATAATGTTATATATAAAATACTGTATTAATCTAGGGCAATAATTCTGAGTAGCAAAATTATCTATCTAAAATGACTACTGATTCAATTTAGTAACAAAAAAACAATGTTTCAGTTTTAAAAAAAGTTTTAAGAAACTTATTTATGGCCTATACGACGTAAATTTCATGTTTTTATGTAATATGCATATGTGTTCCTTATCTGTAAAATACAAAAATCAGTGGGAAAAACAAAATTATGCAAGTTCAGTAAAAATTAATGATTTAATTGTTTTTGAAATTACGTTAATAAATTTGAATGAGAAAATTATTATGAAAAAGGGGAAGAAATCTGGACAAGAAACTTGTAACTTCACTTAAATGACAGAATTTGATCAGGTCAATAAAGTGAGCTAAATTTAAAACAGCATGAACTTTGTAAAATTTAATAATTCGAACGTTTGTCAAATGAATAGCAGTTTCTCTCTATAAAGAGAATCCAATCTCAGAGTTACATTAAATTTTTCAGTTTCTTTTCTCTCCAAGGGTAAAAAAGAAAAAAATGGCTGTAAAATATAATTATTTGTATTATTAATGACATATATTCTCATTTAAAGAAATGGTTCTCATAGGCTCATACACGTAAAAAACAGACCGACAATATCTGATCTATCATATGTAGACATAAATACTCATTGAAAACGGAAAGAAGGCTTCAAAGAGAGAGAGAGAGAGCGAAGAGAGATATTTATGAAAGAAGCAAAACTAAGTTGCTATCTGAAAAAATTAGATTATGGTTGAATGTTTCGAAAAGTTTATCCTTAAACTTCCGAAAAAGTTAAAAAAAATTAAAATTAAAAAATATATTATAAAACTTTTAAAAACTGTAAGCTTTGTATGTTGATTCTATTTTAACGCCTTAACTAATAGTTTCCATTAACCTAGTGTTTTAAGAAATGATTCTTCTAGAAATTTAAGATTTAGAACATAAAACTATGTATTTAAAACGTTAACGGTAACAATGTCAAATGGCATCGAATTGCATCGACGGAAACTTACTATCTTGTTATTTAATCGTAAATTATACCCATGAAGAGACTTCTACCTTTATTTAATGAAGAAAAAGCTTAATTATTCAAGATGTTGTTGTGATTTCACTGAACAAGTTACGCCTGAGGTTTATAAAAAGTTTACCCTCAAGTGGTAATATACGTATTTTATTTTGCCAGGAGGCGAAATCCACTTACTGGAAATAAGAAACACATTCAAGAACTATTTAAAAAATATACAGCAGGTTTCTATGCAGTTCACTAAAACTTGGTCAGAAGCTGGATAATCGAATGGCATCTGAATTTGCCACAAGAAGTCTCACTGAAGCCTTTGGCATACTGCAATACTAGAAATAAAAACGACAGCTTGGTATTATGTTTTACTTCTCCGTGCAAAAAGCGACAGCAACGATGGTTAAAGAGATTCAGCAGCTTTCAGCATTAAATTGAATCTAATTGGAAAACAGATGTCCATGTCCAGCTTTTCTATTGAATCAAATAATCATGACAGATAATTCTATTGTATTGTTATTTGAAAGCTTATATATAAAATACATTCAGGTTTATTTTGTCTCAAACAACATGTCTTGTATAAACTCGTCACGCTAGAAATACCACTCATTGTTCTAAAACATTCTACGAACCGCCTTCGTAACGTGACGCATCATGTAGGCAGATTTCGCACATATCGAAGACCGTAAGCTCCACCCCGTCTTCACGTAGAAGGCAAGAATTAGGAAGAGATTTTAAAGCTAAGTTAGAAAATTTTCTTATACCTCCCAGAGAAAACTTCGTGCTTCGAAAGAAAAGTTACACACTGTGTTTATTAAGACTGTTCTGTCTCGTTTTACCTTCCAGCGACCATCAAAAAAGAGCGCAAGACTCGAGATATGCTAATTAAGGGGGTGGCGATCGCGGCGCCCCCATTGGCTGCCCTCAGGGAGGATTGGCTCAACGGGCAGCAATGAATCCTCGAGAAATGGCTGGAGACGCTAGAAATGATTTGTGAAATTATAACCCGATGATGACACTTTTCTTCAAGTTTTCCATATTTTTTAAGTTGCATTTGTATTATGTCGTTTGTGTATAAAATAATTACGGACGGTAACTTTTCATCTACATTTTTGTTCTTTTGTAAAGCAGACAAAAATGTATTTCGTAGTAGAATTTCTAAATATAAAATGAGAACTTACTTTGAAAACTAAAATTCATTTACATTTTTTTCTATAGAAAACTCCATTCGATTGCTGTGAGGAAACCTGATCACTAAATTTTCTTTAGCCACGAAAATAGACGGTTGTTATAACTAAGTTAGTGCAATTAAGGGATGTTAAAAATAAAAATTTCCATTTAATAAGTCTAATCTAATGCCATGATAATATGCGTATTTAATATTGGTAGCGATAAAAATTAAGCAAACAATAATCTCTTAAGCAGTGTGGAAACATTCCCGATCGGCATGGTGGGTGAAAAAGTCGGCTGTCATAGCTTTGGGCCAAAGTTCGAATCCCGAATAAGGTATGGATGCTTGAAAATGTATAGTATCTTTACATGGGAGAATGGGCGCTTAAATCCACTCGAACATCCTCTCGATATTTTTATGGTAGGAGGAGACAAAAGATTCTTGATTCATCCCCCCCCCGCGTATTCCCCATCAAAACTGGGACGGAACTGAGCAAGCTCGTAAAAGTCACACACGATATGTTCAATGCCTTTGAGTAGGAGAAGCATATGTTTTCTCTTGACCACCATAAATTTGTGGCACTTATCCAGACAATATTTAGATTAGGAGGAACAAACAACAGCAGCTACATAGAAGCGTTTGGATTATGGCAGAGTATACTAAGCTTACGCATCCTCGAGGGCTTGCATTTGAGAAAGACACGGCAAGATAAATTAGTTTGTATGAAAAAAAAAAAAAAAAACTAGCAAACAAAGGGAATCCTCCGTTTTTTTTTTTTGCAAATTTACGCAGTCAGCCTGTTTTGCTAGGAAACTAAGCTAGGTGAAATTACCAGAGTGCAGTAATTTGAAATATTGATCTATATGGGCATTTGTTTTTGTAAGGAATTTAGAAGAATATTAGCGTTGGATCTAACAAAATTGTGAAGCATTAAAAATTCTAGAGAAGTAATATTTTTGCACAAAATCTTTGGAATGGATTATTTAGATTACGGCGAAGCCCTCCAGCGGTATCTGCTTAAGGGGAGGAATGCTTTCGTGGAGGACTTTCTCAAGGAAACTATCTCTAGTCACGTGAAGAAAACTATGAAACTCCCATGCAGCCAGCTCGTTCTTCAGGATTTAAAATAGGGCCGAAGTACCAGCGACCTTACCTTTCGGTGGCTGGTGTTCGGCTGCTGATTCTTACCATTCGGCACAGGAATTAGGAAAGAATAATATGCTGTGAAGTTTTAGATTTTCTATTTGGGAGAGACTATTAATCGACATGAAAATGGATTCGCAAGTAAGTAGTTATGGTACAAGTGAAACTTATCTAAATAAATCTGCCATTATGGACTATTTTCTAAAGGAAACAGCCTCGCATTAGACAACAGAAGATAATGAACAACAAACGGCGATGCAAAGCGCCTGGCAGAGAGCATTTCTAAGGTTGTGATTCATCTCTTCTTCGCAATGGATAGTAAGAAATTTTTTCATGACAATTCACATTGCTAATTTTTCTTATAATGATGTAAATAGTTTCATTTGGAGGGCCTTGTAGAGTCATTAGGTACTTTTTGGAGCAGGAGACGTGAAAAATGAGCTACGCCCTCGCCGGGAATCGAATACCTCTCGAATATGCGTCGAGCGTGCTAACCACTACACCATGAAGACCTGTTAAAAAGGGAGAAATACCTTACATACTCTCCCTTTTAAAGGGCAACTGGGGTTTAGGAGACCCAATCGCCAAATCCTGGTGCTGGAGAATCATCATCCACCACTCTATTTAGTTCGGGCGCCACTGTAGAGACATTAAATTCTTTTTGGAAGAAGCAGGAGACGTAAAAAATGAGATACGCCTTCTCTGGGACTCGAACCATGGACCTCTAGAATACGCGTCGAGCGTGCTGACCACTTCACCACGAAGGCCTGCTAAGAATAAAATACCGTACAGGCTTACATTTAGTATGTGCCTCTTATTTAAATGGGAAAAAAAGCGAAAACTTTCTGCTACCAGTCTCTTCAGCTGATTAATAGTTTTAGAATATTAATATCTCAGCTTATAAGCAATTGTGGCATTTTTCGATGTTTACTCTCATGGCGTAAGTGGTAACACGTATGGCGGGAGGGAATATAAAGAATTTTCCCATTCTATCTTGCGTACTCTTGTGGTATAAGTGGTTTAACACTTCAGATTCATTTCGAATGAAAGATTCATTTCGAATTCATTCATTGAAAGATTCATTTCGAATTTCACCAAGGACACAGTCGATTTTTCTCATTTTCTGCTTAAAAAAATCTCACCTTTAAATTTGAGATAAATTGTAAGGAATGTTTACTCTTGAACTCAACTCTGATTAGAATCTCAGATTAATATGAATATTCAGCGATTCTAATGACAGTATGAATAATCCGTACTTATGACTGCATTGCAATGTTGATACGTCCAACAAATATTAACAGTGAACTAACAAGTGTTAATATAATTAACAAGTATTGATTGTGAAATTAGCCAAAAGTTTAAGCTTTTTTGAAGATTAAATGTGTTTAACAGCGGACGGTCGAACGGTTTTTATGCATTTATGAAATATTATTCTATAATAAGAAGCTATTCATATGTTTCTATGGGATTATATCTCATAAAACATGAGTACTTCAGCCACAATTAGCAGTTGTGCAGTCACAGAATAAATTGTTGAGAGCCACTTTGTATACACATTTTTCTGTATATCATACATCCTTATTAATGTTACAATATAAAGAAGTTCACAAATAGCATTTTACCTCTATTTCTGCCTTCAAATAGGAAGATAACTGTAACTGGGTGATAGAACTGACGGAGACTGGATTGAGCGATTTCAATCGAAAGATCTAGAAGAGAAAAAAAAAATATATTTTCAATTAGGTGGGATTCTACTGATACCTAAAATGTGAAAATATAACAATATGCTAATCTTGTTATATCATACATAGTATATCGATAGAACTATGGGTTAAATATACGAAATTAATCTAACTGTGACCCATTTTAACAGCAAATATTTCAGTTTCAAAAAACGCCATGGGCTTTCAAAAGAACAGACTCAAAATACTTTCATTCCATTTTAAAAATAAGTGTTTTATAGAGAAAGACTTCAACATTAAGTCCATTCATGATATTTCGCTTACAGTTGGTGGTATCTAAGTTTAAATATGGTTATCTAGTTTAAAATTAAAACAAATTCTTGTAATATACTTAACGGCATAGTAGATAAGTTATTTACAGATTACAGAATATGCTCAACTGCAGAATTTTATAGAACTCCTATACCTCATCTGTAGGAGTTTACAGCTGTATTCTGTCATAAAACAATTTTATATGTCAGCCTGAAGGCCTCATTAAATTAGGTACATATGTTTATTATATATAGTGATATGACCTATGATTTTTAGAGGATGCAGATATATATCAAATTTCATGATTAGCATGTGAATTTGTACTGATTCACAACACCCATCAACAACAGATGCGGTGCTGATGTTAAGTGTTATTATTGTGAGTTAATAATGGAATGTATCAATCACTCCCACTCCGTGACCTTGTAGAGACATTAGGTTATTTCGGAGCAGGAAAGATGAAAAATGAGCAACGCCTTCGCTGGGAATCGAACCACGGACGTCTGGAATACGAGCTCAACGTGCAGACCACTACACCACGAAGGCACACTAAGAAGGCGGAAGAAATACCTTATATACTCCCCCTTTTAAAGGGCGACTGGGATTTTAGAGAACCCTATCACCAAATCTTGGATGTAGAGAATCATCATCCACCACCCTTTTTAGTTTGGGCGCCAGTAGGGAGACATTAGGTATTTTTTGGAATCAAGACTAGTGAAGAATGAGCAACACCTTCGTCAAGAATAGAACCACGAACCTCTGGAATACTCGCCCAGGGTGCAGACCATTACACCACGAAGGTACGCTAAGAAGGCGGGAGAAATTCCTTATAACTGGTTGCCGAAAAATCGTGAATTTGTGATAAAATTGGAATGAAAATTATCATGTGTATTAAAATCATACATAATTATCATCGTATATATTAATAATCAAAATTATTATTATTATTGAAATGAAAAAATAAAAATCTAAAGACTCTCTAACAAGGTTGTCATCAGTTAGTCTGCTTACTACTTCACCCTTTTTTAAATGTTTTTGAAATGCTATAACTTTGAAACACTAAGTACCCCCCCCAAACCGTCTGTCTTATAATTGTTTAACCGGTTAGCTATCTTGGACTGGCTTGTTATCATTTATGAACCTTGTATATATATTCTTCATGAAGTGATGATGAACTAGGAACTCAATATTCCTTCTTTAACCTTAAAAGTGGTCCTGATAAAAGTTATAAAAAGTATTTGTTTCAGAAGTCAACTTCTCAACATTTCAATCTGAGCAAAGGGTTGTTTTCCTGAATTAAATCTACTATTTTACATACATGAAGGTAAGTAGCGTTTAAAAGAGAAATAGTGAATGATGTATTTATTCCTGCACTTTCTCCTCTGCGTTATATTCACAGAACTCGAAATTAACCTTAATTCAAGGATCATAATTAATAGGCATATTAAGGCATTTTAGTTTTTTATAATGAATTATAAAACTACGTAATGGCTTAACTAGAATAGTCAGTCTGCTATGAACTGAGTACCTTATTTTAAGTTAAATTTTCAAACTAATTGTCATGCCATTTAATTCAAAGATTTTAGAAGTTCTGGCACTTATTCTTTATAAGCATATTTCATGGAATAAGCGCAAGAATCAGGCAGATCTAAGGTGTATAAAACATGTCATCAATGCTTGAAAGAGACGTTGATAGATTAAAGGCGATTAGAGGCCCGTACTTCATGAATTTTCTCGAACCAGTTGTTAATAAAAAGAAAATATATAACTTTTCTTTTATCTAATATTGATGGGAAAATATAAAAGGGCATCTGAGAGTTGTTTCAACTTATAAGACAAAATAACTCACAGTATTTCTTTAAATTCGCTAATGCCCGTCTCACTTTGTTTATCGAAACAACCCATTCATCTTTTTTATCTCAAAAGCTAACGCCGTAAAAAAGCCCGATCTGACACCAAATCAGCAGCTTAATGAGGCAGCAAAAATCTTTAAAAGATCACTAGCGCCTGTCTTTTAAATAACTCTCCTCGGCAGCGGCACTTGATGAGCTCAACACCACTCTATCAAATTTCTTTGTTCGACGCCATCTTTGTGGTGGTTTTTCTTTTTTTTATGCGTATTCTTCTACTTTTCCTTTCATTAACCCTAACTCAATTTAGCGGCAATTTTCAACTACGGGACAATTTACTTTTTTTTTTCATTCTTTTTCTTTTCTTTTTTTTTTAACTCTCTCTCCTGCTCTTTACGTGGTATTATATTCTTGTGTCTTTTCACTGGGCACTTTTTTATTTCTTCTGGGCACTCTATTTATTAATAATGTATGCAAATGTGGGTGATCATTAGCATGGCTGCGTAATTTTGGGCGAAGATTTTGAGAGATTCTTTTCTGACGTATTAAATGGACGTGGGAGAGAGAATGAAATATATAATTTTTTTTTCACTGTGTCTGTAGTTCATTCCTGCTGGCACACCCAGAAGACGATTACGGTTGCGGTCTGTTAATGATTTATGACTTTTTGCTTGAAGTAACTATTAAAGTTCCTGAGGTGATAAGTTTCTAGCCAAGAACTTAGAAAAAGTGAAGGCATCATACTATTTTGGAATACTGAAGTAGTTATACTTCTGACCCGCAAAATATTTTGCTAATTGAATTGTAATTAACCTGATATTCTGTGACTTCTTTCCCAACACAAAAGGCCCATCACGAAGCAAAGCATCATCATCATTATTTTTATGTGATATTAAAATGTAATAAATGTTATATTATTTTGTAATATTTCCAATTTGGCTAAAATAAGTGAAATGTAATAGCTAAATGCTGCAGACAACTTCCTTCAGTGAGCAGCAATATTTATAAAATTATTTTAAACATACTTCTTTTCAACTTGACCACAAATTTCTCGCTTTGATGGAAACTTTTAAAATCCTCAAATTTTCGCATTTTCCCGCTGTCAGTGTTTTACTTAATGATAGCTGCATGCCAGTTTCTGACTCTGAATCAATAAATATAGAAATTTTCTGAAGTTTCGAAAGCTGCATGCATATAAAAAATATATTTTCTCTGAAAAATGTTACTAAAATACACATCATCCTCATTTAGTTAGCCTACTTTGCTTAATAATAATACTAATATCAATAAAAGATCAATAAATACCATAGCTTTCAGATTTTATATTACGCCCAAAGGGACGCTTTTCTCATTTACACTCACATACACGTTTCGAGATCATTTCGTATAACTCCCGCTTAGGCTAAAAAATATTTAAAAACAGCATATTTTTAGAATTTCCGATTGACACTCGCGCACTAGAGATAAAAATACTTTATTCCTTACAATGTGTTGCCACTGCTCGCTTTGAAATCGTTGAGTCTCTTAATAAAAAATTATTAAAGTTTATAAAATATGAAATAGATAATAAAACCAGTTCGAAGTTTAAGATCCGGGCTTCCAGGTGCCCATGTTCTGATGGAGGACTACGTTATTCAAAATTTGATGGCTCTAAGTACCATCATTTTTTCACAATGTGAGAAACATACAGACATTCATGCAAATTCTTCAGTATTTAATTTCTTTAAATATAATACACAGCAATAATATTTGATGGTAACAATTTGAAAAGTGATACAGCCTTTTATAGTGATACGTCGCAAAATGCCATTTCGAGACTAATAGCCCTTCTGGACTAACACTCCTCTGGGTTAATAAGAAAATTAATAGTTGTAGTTAATGAATTAAGTTATTCTAATAATTTTCCAATTTCTACTTAATATCTGATTAAAATAAATGCTAAATTAATTTTGATCCAAATGTTTCCAAAAACTAATTGTTAGCTCAAAAGGAACATTTTAGTTCCGTATAAGCTATTAGACTCGAAACGGTATTTTGCGTTGAATCATTATAAACGCCGTATCACTTTTCAGATTGCTGGAAGAATCTACATGAACATATGTATGTTTCTCCCATTGTGAAAAAGCAACAGTACCCAGAACTGCCAAATTTTCAATAACATAGTCTTCCACCGAAACATGGGCACCTGGTTTTTAAGCTCAATTTCATATGTCTGGATTATTATAAAGATCACATTTTCCTATTAATTCCTATTAATGGAATTTCGCGGAATTCTACTAAGGACCGTCTGCGGCGACTGCGTCTTTGAGCGGTTGAACTCCCATTTATATCTTATGGGATGCAAGCCTCGCACAAATGTTATTAACATTGTCTCAGTATTGGCGCATTTTTACCTATTTCTACAAGCGAAATTATTGTATAGCTGAAACAGCCGTTTATTTCGTCAGGAAGAAAAATTTCATCAGCGTTGCTTTATCAACCGAATTCATTTTTCAATAACTCACTGTCAATAACTCAATTCAGTGAAAATAAAGCAGAAAAGTTAATTAAAATTTTAGAGGTAACCTTGTAAGGTATATATTAATTTTATGAATTTTAATTTTGAAACCCTTTCCTTTCAATTCTTGTTTCCACTTACAACTCCCTACCAGAATGAGATTTGGAATCGCGTTTCATACAAATGAGTTAGAAGAAGTATTTCAGGAATATTCAGCTTATTTCGATAGAGAGTCCTTACTGGCGCGTGTTTGATTTCTGGCTAACTCACTCTTGAAGCTGTTACTCTCGGCCGTATTATACGTGCCTACTGATATTCGCCGACTAGTTTATTTTAAGACCCAACTCCATTAGAAAATTGTGTCCAGC